ACGATTTGAAGCGACAAATGAGAACTCGTTCTCCGAGGCTAAAGTAGTGCAACATAAAGTGAGTGATGCGCCAATTATTCAAGGTACATACCTATCCCAGCGAGTAAGACGCAACGAATATATCAATATGATTTCAATTTCAGTAAATGCTGATTTTATTCGAATTCCACCATGGGGGTATCGGCTTGAAGAACTCCAGGTCGGTGAATGGCCAATGAGCCCTCGGCCATTGAGCTGAAGTTGCACATGCCAGCCATCATCATTGGCCAACCCCTCCTCCGCGCGGAGTACCACTCAAAGTGCACAAAAATCGCGTGACGCCCAACCTCATCTCATTAATGATGTGAATTGTCTTCTTTTTCCGCTCAGAGATGCTCATGCTACTCTAATGCACCACATCTTTTCAACAATGCCAAAACTCCCTTTTTGTGCGCAGAAAATGCCGTCCAAACGCCAAGCCATGACATATAAAAACAATGTCTCGTAAACAAATGCCGTTAACCCCTCCTTGTCTTTTTCGTCCCGTCTCTAAAGAGGTAAGGAAACGCTCTACTGCTCCTCCTGGACAACGACGCCCCATTCGTGCTGCTCGCCGCCGTACATGATGTCCTTCATCCACTTCTTGATGCGGAGGGTGTACTCGCCGCCCTCGCCGGCGCCGCCCATGCCAATCTGGACGTCCTTGCCGCGGTGGTGGATCAGGGAGATGGGGCAGACGAAGAACTGCGAAACAAACACGTCAGCAATCAATCTCCAAAACCACTTGAAACGCTCAAGGTACAACTTACAGCAGTGCCGGCCGCAAAGGACTCGACAATGCGGCCCTCCTGATCGGCCTCAATGACCTCGTCGATAGTGTACCGCCTCTCGACGACATCAACCTCCTCGCCCAAACGCTCCCTCACAAGCTGCAGCACGCTGCGCCTCGTGACGCCGTCCAAAATCAAACGGTCGTCGAGCGGCGCGGTGATGATCTCCGTCTTGCCGGTCTGCTTGTTCTTCCACACAACGAAAAAGTTGCTCGCGCCGGCCTCGGTGCAGTACTGCTCCTGGCCGTACAGCCACAGGATCTGGCCGAAGCCCCTGCTGCGGGCCTCAGCGGTGGCAAGCAGCGAGGGGCCGTAGTTGGCGCCGACCTTTGCGTAGCCGAAGCCGCCGACCCAGGCGCGGACCATGTCCTCAGGGCTGGTGTGCAGCTTCATGCCGCCGGCGGGGCTGTCCATGGTGGGCATGAAGGAGCAGATGATGTAGAGCATGGCCTCGGAGGGGGCCTGGACGCCGAGCTGGGACTGGGTGCCGATCATGGTGGGGCGGAGGTAGAGGAAGGAGCCCGGGCGGTCGCGGGGCAGCCACTTGGGGCCGTCGACGGCCATGAGGGCGACGAGGAGCTTCTCGAGCTCGGCCGGGGGGAAGGAGGGCAGGGCGATGCGGGTGGAGGACATGAGCATGCGCTCGCAGTTGCGGTCGGGGCGGAAGAGGCGGAGGGCGCCGTCGAAGCCGCGGTAGGCCTTGAGGCCCTCGAAGCACTCGGTGGCGTAGTGCAGGACGGAGGCGGTGGGCATGAGGGAGAGGGGCCCGTAGGGCTTGAGCTCGGGGACGGACCAGCCGGTGCTGGCCTTCCAAGTGGCCGCGATCATGTGGTCGGTGCAGATGGTCTCGGGCCCGGCGTTGGCGGAGGCGAGATCGGGGACGGCGCGGGGGCTCTTGGTGCGGGTGTAGACGAGCTTGGAGGCGTCGAGTTCTTGGTAGGCGGCGGGCTTGGCGGTGCCATTGCTGTGGCCGTTGGAGGCTGCCTTCTGGGGGAGGGCGTCGAGCTTGTGCTCGATGGCGGAGGAGGTCAGGTCGACGTCCTGGTTGCCATGGTGCAGGCCGGGGGAGATTGTGCCGGGAGCCATCGTGGATATTGGACGAAGGGCTGGTGAGGTGTTGAGGGGGATGTGTTGTGAGCGTGTGTGTGTGTGTGTGTGTGTGTGTGTGTGTGTGTGGTTGTAAATGTGTCTTGGATATCTAAGACGGAGGAGCGGGAGGTTTTCAACTAGAGTCGTTGACAGGTAGCACAAGTGAGGAACACACGAGAGTGTAGAAAGGACGGTAGAAAAAAAAAGGGACAGGAGGTGTGGTCTATATCGGCTTAAGGTGGGAAGGGAGAGGAAGGGGACAAAGCACAAGGATGAGGCCGAAGCTTAAGTACAAAGGGTGTCACACTTGGGGTCAAGGTTCTAGTGACAGATGGAGCAGGTGACTCAAGCACCAATGCAAAGGGGCAGCGGATCCGATCCAGGAAAGGGCGGTTTTGATTTTCAGATAGCAGGGACAGGGAGCAGAGCAACCACGACATTACGCAGCGGCGCGGAGCGTGGAGACAAGCTTGCAGTGAATTGGTGGTGGTGGTGGAGGAGGAGGATGGCGCCTCCGTAGGCGTGAGGTGAGAGAATCTGGCGGGCCCGTTCCGTTGCTGGGTTGAATCGGGACGACCTAAGGCAGCCCGGCTCATGGACGACGACGACGGAACGCCAACGGCTTCCCAGGCTCGCATTCCTACCCAGGTAGCCAAGCCGACTACACGCTGCTGCATGGTTACTGAGGTGTACATTACATCGTACACAGTGGTAATGTATGTGTAATGTGTGCGCCGTCGCTTGTTTTTGGCCATTGATCCATCCCGTAGAAAAAAGATGCAAAACGAAGGCACCACTGGGGCACAGCAACACGAACACTCGCCAAAAATCAGTTTGCCTATGAACACACACAAAAATTCCAACGAGCATCGCGGGTTCGGTTCTGGGATCTGGGATGCCAATGCCGAGCCCGAGTGCACCACCCCCGGCGGCCGGGCGGTGGTGGTCCCCACACACAGCGCAGCGCGCGTGAGCAATCATGAAGCGGCCATCATTCCTGGCGCTGGGATTGGCGATGTTGGGGGATGGATTTCAGATTTTCTCTCACATCTCATCTCATCTTGTCGCATTCTCCCGGGGACCTTTTGCAGCAGGTATCCTTCTCAAGTCCTGTTTGATAGCAGTCTGACTTTTTCTTCTTCACTGCTGCTCCACCTAAGATAAGGCAATGGAAGCAACCAAACCACAAAAGTCCGAATGATGGTGATCCGTGGATGGCAACGAAGATGAAAATTGTGAACCACCCCCAAACACCCGCCAGAGCCGGGACCATCCCACCTCACATCGGTTTTGCTGCCGTCTGAAGAGCGCAACCCCAGAGATAATTGAGAGGAAAAAAAAAAAAGAAATCTGTGACGAAACAAGAGGTCAAGCCGCGACCGCTCATTCGTCTGCATCGGCTCAATGTACGTGTACCTGGTCTCTCGCCTCCGTCCAGGTTCTGCAGCTGTGTTTGTCCCACCACAAGCCGACGGCCGGCCACGGCTCCAGTCGGTCGTCGTTCTGGCTGGCCCCATTGCGGCTTTGGTGCGCGCGGTCCGAAGCCGACGGGGGTTGCACCCAGGGCCCCTCAAGCCCAGCCAGCTCCGTGGTACCTACCTTACCTTGAGGGAGTCATCATCATCGAGGAAGAGAGGCCGACATCGCAGGTCAACGGCGCCCAACGACGCCCTGTTTCGCCCGTTTCGCCCTTTTCGCCCTTTGCTTGACATCGCGAACAGGGGTTCACGGCAATCAATTGACATGATGGCTTGTTGAATCCGGGAGCTAGCTGGCATGGCGATAGTGCGGAAAGACCGACTTCCTGCCAAGGTGAGACGGGAGTGCTGGGAGCCTGTCACAACCCGGACGGAGCCACGGAGTGCTGGCCCCTCCTCCACAAAAAAATAAGAGATGAGGGCGGAATTGGAGATGGGCCAGGTGTTATCGCTATCTTTCCTCCCATAACGAAGGGGGAAAAAACAAACATGCCCCTCGTTACGCCCGCTGATAGCCGAGTGTAGGCGATGACGTGGGGAACCCAATGGCTTCAATGCGCACGGCAGTGACAGCAACATACGCCGTACGTGGAAGAGCAAGGTACCAAGAGTCTGTCCCCCCCTCCATCAGACTCCTTCTCGAACATTGGATCGGTTGGCGTAGGATGGTTCTAAGGTGCCGAGTGTAACCATTCGAGGCAGGTGCTAAGCAAAGATATTGGTAACAAGATATGCGACCTGCATGCAGACTCTCTGCTCTCTCACTCTCCCTCTCTCCGCGACCTAGTGTTGGTTGCATCTGCGGCTGCTCGGAGGCCCGGATCTCTTTCCACGGCGCCCCCTTCACACACACACACTTTTCTCCTTTTTTACTTCTGGTTGTATCTCACCAAATCCTGAGGTACGTATGACGCGATAAACGGCTCAATCCAGCAATTGAAGGATGGAACACCATTCTTGCATGGTACCGTGAGCCTTCCATGAGCCCTCAATACATACTCTGTGTCCATGTCATCTTCCCAAGTACACACAGACAGGCACAGTCTCATTTCAGCCCTGCACCACACCGACCGGGGGAGCGGTAAAGGGAAGGGGGAACGGATCGTTGAGGGGCGTTGCTGCTGTGTCACTTGACCACGCAAATGGCGGGGAAAAGGGTCAGTGGTATGTGTGGCTTGATACCGGCCGCTGCTGCCACCGAGATCGTGATTGCAGGAACCGTCTTCCGCCACTTTGTAGACAGGTAGTCTTGACCGCCCACTACCCTTCTCTCCAAAACAGTCTATGTATCTTTGAAAGATAAGACGTCGACGCTACCCGTTCTCCATCTGAGACGCATAGATACACAAGTCACCACTGCGGGAGATAATCATCTTGACATCTTGACAGGAACGCATCCGGGTATGTATGTTTTGGCGTTTCGATCTACGTATCACGTGTTTGTGTTTTTTCCCCCGTCCATTCTCGGGGTCCCGGACCTGTTGAAGGCCGTCAGGTCGTCTCCAGCCAAACCCCCCGTGACAAAAGTCCGTAATTAAACATGCTATCGCCTCAAAAAGAGAACATCCGATAGAAAATAAGTCCTCCCCCAAAATCAGCAGCATTGGTATCGTCGTCCGTCAGTCTAAGCAGCCCTCTCCGCCTCCCTCTGCGCCTGCTCCTCCTCCAGAATCTCCCGCTGCCGCGCCGCCTGCTCGCCCTCCGCCTTGACGCCCTTCTTGCGCTGCCGCTCCTCGTACATGTCTCTGCTCTTCATGATGCGCTGCACAATCGTCCCGGCGTTAACCCCCGCGAACTCGTGCTCGCCGACCTGCCGCATGATGCCCATCTCCTTGGGGCCCGTGTATGGGTCGTAGGTGAGCGGCATGAAGGCCGTGGGGCCGTGGTACACGGCGTCCGGCGTGCCCCACGGCAGCGACGTCAGGTACGCCTTGGTCGGCGAGAAGGGCGCGCCAAAGACGACGGCGTTGACGTACTGCATATCGTGTCAGTATTTGATCCAGTGAATACAACAGGGGGGTTGCTTACCCTGCACTGCAGCACGCAGAGGCCGCGCTCGTAAATGTTCATGATGGGATAGTTGATGCCCTTCCACTGGTTAATCACCTCGTCGTCGTGAATGCCCGCGACGACGTAGGCGGGCGGGTAGTCGCCGCCCTTGCCGACGCGCTCGTTGACGGCCTGCTCATTGTACCACCCCTCCTGCCGCGCCAGCTCCTCCTCAGCCTCGACCACGCGGCGCAGGAACTCAATGTGCCCGCTCGAGAACAGATCGAACCCGCCGTCGACGTACACGACGCGCTGTCCCGGCTGCGGGCCCTTGCCGGGAAGGAACCTCCTGAACTCGCCCTTCTCCTCGAGGGTGGAGCCGGAGCGGGCCTCGTCGGATGCGGACCAGAACCAGACCTCGACGCCGGGGTTCTTGCCCGTCTCGTCGGTGGCGTAGAGCTTCATGCGCTCGGCCATGGCGGCGCCCTCGGCCTCGATCTCGGCGCGGCTGGAGCCGTGGCCCTCGTCGCCGGCGAGGCGGCGCTCGAGCGACTTGATGAAGTGGGTCTTTGTGCACAGCAGCATGCGGCCGACGAGGTCGGTGGTGGAGATGCTCGGGGTGCGCTTGACGACCTTGAAGCGGCCGGCGGCCTTGACGAAGCGGTAGCAGTCCTCACCGTCGCCGTCCGAGGTGATGTCGTCGCCGTGCACGACGTACTTGCAGCCGTAGTGGGAGATCCAGTCGAGCTGGGTGACGTAGGGGGCCCGGCCGACGGACTGGGTGACCCAGCGGCAGGCGTCGACGGCGGCGAGACTTTGGAGGGTTTGTCAGTGAGATCGCGTCATGATGAGTGTTTTTGGAGGCCTTCTCTTTCTTACCGCTCTTGCAGCGTCATGACCGTTGGGCCCTTGTTTTCGAGGATGGCTTCATCGGAGTGGACGCCGATGTACAGCTCGCTGCCCAGCTGACGGGCCTGGACAATGGCGCCGGCATGTCCTGTCAACCTTGATGAGCGTACTGACTTGCGAACGCTGTCCTCAGCAGTGTTTTGCGATGCTCACCGTGGTGGAAAAAGTCGAAGCAGCCGTCGATCCAGATGCGCTTCTCCAGAATCTCAGGGGCGGGCTCGCCAGGCGGGTGCTGGGGGTCGGAGTTGACCATGATGACGACCTTTTGGTTGAGTGTTTGCTTAAGGACTCAGAGTGACATGAATCTTTTCGAAATTCCTGGGAAACCGCCTTCTGATAAAAGCAGCGCAGCTGTATCACCGTTTTCTTCCGTGACCAGATGCCAAAACCGTTTCACCGACTAGCAGAAAAGGGGGGCGGATTTCACATGAGGTTTTGGGTAATTACGTATGGAGGTCAGGTACCTTGCTGGGGGGTTGAGCTGAGGTTGACGGGCGAGCAGCAAGGTGCAAAAGTTGGGTGAGCTCGTGGCCCCCGCGATGTCCCGCTCCCGTAGCGGCGCCGCGTGATTGGCGAGGTTCCAGCGCCACCAAAGATAGCCGAGATCCACAGGAGCTTCCAGCGGTCGGCCGGCGCACACGAGCACTCCCCCACGGCGCTCACGGGGCCTCCTTCAGCGCTGCTTGTCCAGCGGCCCAGCGGTCTTTCACATGTTTGGCGGGCGATTTTAAGCTTAGCCCACCCGCTGGACGAGCTGGCGGGAGGTGTTCATTGGACCCCGTTCCGTCCCAACGGTTTTCTGTCACCAACATCGACATCAGACGGACGGAAGAGATGGATGGATTTGCACATGTTCATGAGCATCCTCACTATTTTTTGGCGCCTTACCTTGTTTTACGCGCATCTGCCGCGCATGCTGGTCAGCTGATGCACACAATGAGGCTCTTATGATGGTCGACTGCCTTTTCAACTTCAAGCCTCCGCTTGTTGGTTCCGTGTCGAAATGGCGCATCGGGCGGGCAGACCGAACAAGTGCTCCAAAGCGGCATCTTCACCGGAAGAACTCGACTCCAAGCGGAGCGACCGCCAATATTCCCGTGTATTCCTGGATGAGCCTCACATATCATCCTCGGGCGCCCCATCAAAGTTGATTGGCATCTCCATGCACCGCTCAGGAACGGACGACCCAAAAACGTGGTCGGGTCCCATCCGCTGTCAATGGACCCAGTTGTCGATAAAGCAATCGCGCCCACGTGCACCGCCCTGCGCATCCATTGGCCCGCCAAGCGTTGCCATCTTCAACACCACGACCGACTTGATCTCTCGCAATCCCCAGCTCGCCGGGTTGTGCTGACTTGTTCGGACGACAGTTCGACTTTGAGCCGCTCCGGTCAATGTTCTGGGCAAATTGCCCCGGCATGGCGCGTCAATGGTTCTTGGAAGTGACCGGGGGATCGCGAGCGGGGGCACCTCGTCGTCGGTGCTATTTATCCAGAGCTCTCCCCGCATGCGACGCTGTGATGTAGCGTAGCTTCTCCAGCAGCCAGCTCTCTCTGTCTCTCTCCAGCTCCCTCCCTCGCGAATCTTGCGCATCCCGTCAACAACCTCCGGCAAGATGAAGGGTCTCACGCTTTCCGCCCTCCTGGCTCTCGCACCCGCGGCCCTCGCTGCGTGGCCCGAGGCCGAGGGCAAGACGATCAAGTACACGTCGGTTCCTGGATACTTTCTGCAGGACGACAACAGCACTGACCCCTCTGGGTTTGACTACGTGAGTTTTCTCGTCTTGCAAAGTGTGGACAGTTTACTGACGCGCAGCAGGCTTCTGTCAACTTTGGCCTGATCAACAGAACATACCCGACGGACAAGCAATTCGACCCCGAGGGCACCAAGACCCAATGGCAGCGCTTCGAGCGTTGGGTTCAGTACCTGACCTCGGGCTGCCGCAAGAACGACAGTGTCTCGTACAAGCTGCTCTTCATGGGACGTCACGGTGAGGGTTGGCACAACGCTGCTGAGTCTTTCTATGGCACTCCCGCCTGGAACGTGAGTCGCGTCCATGTCAATATGCATACAATCACAACTAACACGAAACAGTGCTACTGGGCTGAGCAAGACGGCAACAGCACCGCTCGCTGGGCCGATCCTCTTCTGACCCCGGCGGGCGAGGCAGAGGCGTACAAGGCGAACGCCTACTTCAAGGACCGGTTCGAGACGCAGAAGATGCCCTACTTCGAGTCCTACTACTCGAGCCCCTTGATCCGCTGCGGGATCACCGCCAACATCACCTTCGGCGACATCCCGCTGCCCGAGGACAGGCCCTTTATCCCGACCGTCAAGGAGGGCTTCCGCGAGGGCATGACGGTGCACACGTGCAACTGGCGCTCCAACAAGACATACATCCACGACATGTTCCCCTCCTACCAGTTCGAGGCGGGCTTCACCGAGTATGACGAGCTGTGGCGCCGCAACGAGAGCGAGACGACCGAGGCGCAGAATGCGCGGTCCAAAGCCGTCCTCGACGACGTCTTCCGCACCGACGACAAGACCTGGCTCAGCATCACGAGCCACTCGGGCGAGATCACCAGCCTGCTGCGCGCCCTCAACCACCGCGCCTTCCGCCTGTCGACCGGCCAGATCATCCCCGTCTTCGTCAAGGCCGAGGTCGTCGAGCCGCAGCCGGAGCCGACTTTCGCGGCGCACGAGCCCTACCCGACCTGCACCAGCCCGCCGATCACCAGCAACGCCGCGCAGGGATGTGTGTGCTCGACGGCTACGTCGGCGCTCCTCCCGGCAGCCACGCTCATGGCTGCGGCGTAGGTGACGCGTAAGAGGCTTGGAGGATGGTAACGAAATAGTCTTGATAGTGTTAATGTAATGACAATGATCAAACCCAATGGCATGCGAATGCGTGTGACCACGCGAATGAGGCGCTGCCAATGGCATCTGAAGCAGCCGGTCGAGACCGTAGAACGATGTGAAGCAAGCCAAGTTCGTCCAAAGCAGCGGCTTCGCTACGTGAGAGCCCCTGGGATGATGGACAGAAGAGGATTCAACCTCCGATACCATCTTGGAACTCGAAGGACAGGCATTGGAGTTTGTGGAGGAATAGTCGGTGATGCCTAGGTGGAAGTCGGTGGCGGTACTTGATGACATTGGCACCCTGGCAAGAGACCACCGAGGCGTTGATTCGTCGCGTGGGAATTAAGAAAGGGTGACATTAAAGGGTGGTATTCCCAGCTGGATCGCTGGAGAGTCGCAGCCTCCACGTGGTACTGGAGCTTCTGGAATGTTTCAGGATCGACGCGGAAGGAGTCGAGCAGCCGTACGGGGAAGAGAGGCATGTGCTCTGTGTAGCTCGGCGCTTTGGGCGCTGCGCGGACTATTTCGAGGGAGGGAAGCTCATCTACTGGAGTCGACGGTGCGGTCTGGCAATCTGTATTGGCCCAGAGTATGTGCGCAAGCCTGTGCTTAGAGCGCTGATAATGACGAACGTCGTTCTGCTATTGGGCAATGGTTATTTTGCTGCTTGCTATTGGTGCTGTTTTAATGGTTGCCCTCGGATGGTGGTTTTGGGTGTTGGGAGGAAAAGAGTTTCACGATAGATTCAGCCTTGGTTAGTCGTCGTCGCCTCGACGAGGGAGCACTGGAATGCAGCAACTGGAAAGCTTAGCACGGCGAAGGAATGTGTGAGCAGCGCGGCCTAGAACCCTTCCACCGGCCATCGGCGTTTCCATTGTCTGCCTGCCGATCAACCCAAGCCATGACGAGTACTAGTAGGTCTTTGTGGATGGACTTTGAACACGAGGGCGAAGACTGCCACGCGGTGCCTCCCAGATTCCGTTCGCGGCCATTCCCTCTCGTAAAGTTCTGGCGTCTTGCCCAGCGACGGGCGATTCTCTTGGAACGCGACTGGCGCAAGCCCCATTGTCCGTCCCAAATTCCCGGTGCATCGGGCGTCCCATTTGGGATCTTCAGACGTCCGGAATGGGATGTCCCTGGCTGGGGGAAATACGGCCACAACAAGCTGCGCTGGAATTGCCTCACGGCGAACACATCAGCCAGATTGCCGGGCGAGAAAACACGACGAGATCGCAGGGATGGACGCGGCTGGGCGGCGATGGTGGTGCGGCCGGGACTGAGTCGATTGGCGGTGGGAGCTGATGTTGTTTGGCGTTTGGGCCATGCAATCCTCTCTTTTCTTCCGGATCCCAGGGCATGTCGAAATGAGATGGATGCTAGTAAAGAGTCGTGTTGTTTTTCTGTTGTTTTCCCGCGCGGTGCGAGGCCAATTGGCTCTGTTCCTGTTCCACCGTCTTCCCTCTACACTAACGCAAGGCACCGCACCTAAAAAAGGGACGCCGCTCTTGCATCTGCAACTTTGACTGGCGTTGGCGCTTTTCGCTCTTCATTCGAGTTCGCGACCTGCACCAGCACCAGCACCTGCACCTGCACCCCTCGACCGACCGCACCTACCTTTTACTCGCGGATAGGTCGCCAGATAAAGCTCCGATCCCCGCCCAGCCACAGGGTCGCAGAAGCACAGCACCCAACCGCGTCGCTCAAGCCATCCTGCAACACTCGCCTTTCAGCAGCACCGCATCGCCGCTCCAACGTTGATGCGAACGGACTAAACAGCCATCCGCACAGCTGGAGCTCAGTCGAACGACCTCGCCGGCGGTCTGTCTAAGACATCCGGACCACAAACTGAAGGAATTGTACGACAGAAAGCCAGCCTGCAGTGGCTAACTTGCTCCATTCGCCCCGGACATCATAATAAAGGACCCTGCAAAACAACACACACCTAACCCACAAACAACAAGGGGAGGGAAGAAATATAATTAACTCTCACACACTCACACGACATTCTGGCCCTCGCCTAGAATTCAACCCCCCCGTCCAAACCCTCGTCTGACGACCGCCCTTCGACAGCATTGAGTCCGAGTTGGCATTGAAGCGTCCACTCTCCCACGTTTTGCCCTACCTTGCTCCGCCGTTCAGAACCAGAGCAGCGAAAAACACTCCGAGCCGTAATACGATTGATTACCGACTACCCTACCTACGCAGAAACTGGCCCTTGGCGATCCTGCGACCTTGTCATCCACCCGCATCAACTTGCCCGCCTCACAGCCTGGTCCGGAAACCCGCCAATATTCGCTGTTTCTCGCAATCCAAACTCGTGTCTGCCTCCTCATCGACTCGTCGTCGTCTCCAGTCTTCATTAAACTCAACCTGCAGGGCGTTCATTAGCATTCGACCCCCAATCTGTTTGAACCGCGGCCTGCATCAAAACGAGCAGCAAGGGGCTTTGTGCTAATCTTACAAACCCATATCCGCCCTATGCTATTCATCGGCGTCAGCACTTGAGCCCATCCCGCCGCCCATCTGATCCCACCTTGCAGCAACCTTCTGCCACCAGAAAACCTGGAAAAAAGTGGCGTCAATCTTTCTGGCGACCAACCGGAACACGGGCAGCACGTCTGAAAGGCAAAGCAGGTCACCGAAACGCAAGTCATAGTGCGAAGCAAGGGGCTCCCGCAAGCGAAAGCAAAAGCACCAACACACCAGCTGAAAGCCTGTCACCTGCCCGAGCCTTGCAGCGGGAAAGGGAAAGGAACTGCAGACTATTATTGCTTAGCAAAAAAAGTCAGCCGGTACCTTACCTACGGGCACAGCAAACAACATTGGGCCCGACACATCCATCTCTCTCGGCACCACCTCATCAAACCCGCCGGACCAATACCGCCTCGCCTTGCCCACGCCAAAACCGCCCGCCGATCGAATCGGCCCCTCGTCCGCCCTCCTTCGCCGGACTCCTGAACCTGGTCTGGCCCTGAGGTCTGAGGTCTGAGGTGCTCCTCCGCTCTCCATCCCTCCCTGACGAACCCCGTCCACCCCCGTCTCCGTCGACCCTCCTTGCCTCCCTCCAGACAGAGGTCCTCCAGGCCCCCCATTCCATTCAAAGACATGCAGCGATCCGGCGCACCACCTGCAACTGCAAATGCACCCTTCTTCTCGACTTCCTTCTTCTCCTCTTCCTCCTCAAAGTCCCGTCCAGGCACGTCCTCAGGTGACCAGCAGCCACCGCAGCAGTCGCAGTCGCAACCCCCTCCTCAGCCCTCGCCCTTCTTCCCGCCGCCGCTACAATATCCCGCCGGTCCCAACGTCCTGACCAAGGATCGCAAGAGCTCCTTCGGCCGCAAGCCTTCCTTTAGCTCTCCCTCCAAGTCCTCCAAGCGACGTGCCAACAGTTCCAGCTCTGGTGGAGGAGGCAATGTCGTAGTCACCGACCGAAACGTACCCCCCGCCCTTCCCGACTTTGCCCTCGCCGCCGCTGCGAAGATCACCCGCGACGCCGACAACATACAAAGCCCCGCCTCCGCCGACAGCTTCTCCAAGATGCTCAGCCGCACGCATACCGGCTCAGCGAGCCTCGCCCCCGACCGCCTGCAGCCCCCGCCGGCCTCTGCGACACATCCCAACATGTGGCAGTCGAGCGAGTCTGTCGTGCTGCACATGCAGATGCAAGAGATTGCAAACAAGAGGATATCCACCTTGGACTACATCCGCAAGGCGTAAGGCTCCTCTCTCTACCCCTCCATATTGTCCTTCCCTACTGACTGCTTCATGGACAGACACGAAGGCCGTGTGTATTGGTTCAACACTATCCTCTTCGACAAGCCCGACCTCCAACGCATGCCCTCCTTTGATCAACGAAAGCTCGCCCGCCGCGCCACGAACTACCTCCTACTCGGCCTCTCCCTGCCTACCATTGTCGATCTCTACGCAAACACCCCCATTGAGTTCCTACGAAGCCTGAATAATCTACTCCAAGAATTTGAGTCGTTCCAACAGCTCCACGGAGAGGGTGGCAGCTCTACGAGTTCGTTGTCGCGGGCACGCTTGCCACAGATGTTCCGTCGTCAAGGTGGAAAGTCACGGCGCAGCGCCAGTAGCGCCAACGACTTCAGCTCTTCCGGAGACGGCGCCGATGGAGGTATTGGTTCTTCCGGGAGCGCGAGCGCCAGCGTCATGTCCTTTGCATCCAGCGACAACGATCTGCTCCCCGGCGAGGTCTACACCCATCTTCTCACACCATCCTTACCGTTCGAGCCGGACTTTTTCGAGACATTCGCGACACTATGCGAAGTGCTCATTGACGTTTACACGAGGGTCCTGACGCTGGTGCCCACGCCCAGAGAGACGACAGCGCCGGTGGCCGAGCTATTCGCAAAGGCCGATGCCAAGGTGCGCAAAATCATTGTGCAGGGTGTTGTCAAGGAGTTTGAGGACAGCAGCAGAGCACACATCAAGACGGAGGTTGCCAACATTGGCAAAGTGGTTCTTGGCGGACTAATGTGACGGAACGATATAAGGAGTCATGTCTGGTATGACCTGCATTTTTATGGAGTTGGGATGGCCTTTTTATGAGACATGGTAGAGGTCGGCGCAGGGAACTTCACGTCGGGACTTCAGATATACCACATTTTGATGTTGTTTATTGCTACCTATATACCTATGACCTGGACCGAAGATCCAAAGACCAACTAATCCAAACCATTGATAACAAAAAGAGATGTAAGAGAAGTTCATCAGATACCATAACGCATATTTTTGTCGCTCACATTGGCGGACCCTAAGGCCTCTCACCGTCAGTGCTTGACTCTATATTGGTGATCATCATCGAACTTGAAAAATAGTTTGAACTAGGGATCTTGTCGGCCCAGGGTATCATAGACGGGGAGACTTCCCACGAAGTCCAGAGTGTAGGTGTCTAACCCTTTGCGGACCAGACAAGAACCCGTCAGTTCAGGTTTGAGCCCCCCTCGCGCCGAGAATAAGCCCCATCGAGTAATCCCGCCCCTGTGAAGGGACGAGCAATCGCATAACTATCGATCTCGACGAAAGACTCCTCCGGCCGACCCTTAAATTCACCCGGCAAGCGACCTCCCCACGCGGCCGCCCCGTCACCGAAGAGCCCTCTCGTCCCATCCAAAGCACACCACCCCCCAGATCCCAAGCGCGGACTCATATCTTCGTCCATGGGGTCTCGGAACAAGAGGACGGGGCTTCGAGAAGGGTGCAGAGGAACCGCGACGATGTAGCGACGGGGCAGGGCGGAGGGGGAGAGCCATTGTGTCCGGGCGCAGGTCTTGGAGGTCAGCCGCTGTGCTTCTATGGCGGCGCGTTTCCGCGGCGTTTTGCCTTCAACCCCGAAAGGAAGAAGTAACGTGTGTCCGGGGACTTTCTCCCAAAGCTGCTGGGCTACAAAGAGCCCGAGACGTTTTGAGGCGTCTCTGTTTGTGAGCTTCGATGGCGATTTGTCGGGCGAGGAGGGTTGTAGAAGAGAGAAAGGAAAACGCGAACCAGAGCTTTCAAGATTTTGTTTTAAATACCAATGGGAGAAAAAAAAAAGTTGCTTGGGTGGTGGGGCGTCGTGGCTGTAGTGGGGCCGATGTGGCTTTAGCGCTGCAGCTACCCAGGCACGGCAGGCACGGTAGGCACCCAGCCTTGTGGCTTTGCAGCCAATTGAAGGGCGACCTCACTTTTCGCATCGCGACTGTGTTTCCCAGCGCTTCTCCTGCCTAGAAGATTCCTGGACCTCACCCAGCAGCTATTTGAAGCTGAGGCCGACCCCCTTTCCAGACCCCCAAATCAAACACTCGCTCTCAATCAAGACTGGTGCAGCTTGATTTCTCTCGATCGACCGACGAACCGACGAAAAGCTCTTTCCTCTGTCGAACACAAGCAGACCGACTATTCGACGGCCACCATGTCCGGCCTGTTTGGCTCCGCGGCGTCATCGACGCCGTCCAACACGGTCGGCGACCTCAAGCAGGACGTTGCGCTCAACAACCCTCCCGAGGACAGCATTTCCGACCTCGCTTTCTCCCCGAACCAGAACCAGACCAGCGACTTCCTGGCCGTCGCGTCTTGGGACAAGAAGGTCAGAATATACGAGATTGCCCAAAATGGCCAGAGCGAGGGAAGGCACGCGTACGAGCACGACGGACCCGTGTTGAACTGCGACTTTTCCAAGGTACGACTGCATATTCTTCGACATCTCTGTCCTCCACAAGAGCTAACATTATCTCCGTAGGACGGCAGCAAGGTCCTCTCCGGTGGCGCCGACAAGGCCGTCAAAGCCTGCGACCTCGGCAGCCAGCAGACCATCAAGATCGGCGAACACGAGCAGCCCGTCAAGTGTGTTCGTTTCTTCGACTCGGCCAACGGCACCATGGCCGTCTCCGGCTCCTGGGACAAGACGGTCAAGTACTGGGACATGCGATCGCCCACACCCGCCGCGACGTTGACCTGCCAGGAGCGCGTGTACTCGATCGACGTGCGCAACGACCTGCTCGTCATTGGCACCGCCGACCGCTACATCAACGTTGTCGACCTCAAGAACCCGACCAAATTCTACAAGACCCTACAGAGCCCGCTCAAGTGGCAGACCCGCGTTGTTAGCTGCTTCACGGACGCCGCCGGCTTTGCCATTGGTAGTATCGAGGGCCGCTGCGCGATCCAGTACGTGGAGGACAAGGATGCTAGGTATGTTTGTGCAAGACGCGATTTGGAAAGACAGGCGACTGACAGGTGGATAGCTCCAACTTTTCCTTCAAGTGCCACCGCGATCCCCCGGCCAACAACATCACAAACGTATACGCCGTCAACGACATCTCCTTCCACCCCGTCCACGGCACATTCTCGACCGCCGGCTCGGACGGAACGTTCCACTTCTGGGACAAGGATGCTAAGCATAGGCTCAAGGGGTACCCCAACGTCGGCGGCAGCATCACGGCGACCACGTTCAACAAGAACGGCTCCATTTTTGCGTACGGTATCAGCTACGACTGGAGCAAGGGATTCCAACATAACACGCAGGCGTATCCCATCAAGGTCATGCTGCACCCCGTGCAGGCGGACGAGTGTAAGCCTCGCCCTACCATGAAGAAGCGATGAACGAACTAGGGGCGGATAATGGGGGAGCGTTTTGAGATTTGGTCCTGCATATTGTGCGAATGCAGATACAGAGGGAGGTAGTGGCCAAACTAGAGCCTGGGAAAGCGAGAAATTCTTTACACACGCCGGGGTTATTTTGCGTACTGTACGAGCCGAGAAATCAAGTGCTGCGAAAAGAGGCAGTTGTTATTATGGAAATCGGGTATTGGACTCGCGACTAGGAGTGTAAGGCACTGGGCGATCGATACCACAAATTGGCAAACAAAAGCAACATTCATAACCAAAGCACGCACGTCACATTGCGAGTGAAAAGATGGAGTGTAATGTGAGATCCGTGTAAGATCCAATTTTGAGTCGTAGAATTGATCATGCTTCTCGTACCCAGTGTGATGTCTGTCTTCCCTAATCCTCCCTCCCAATGAAGTTGCAGCTTGCTTATTAAACCAATATGAATGACCAAGAAAGACCCCGTTGCAGCCGCTGTCCGAGCAGGCAAGCAATCCTTTGATGACTAGAATAAATCCAACCGCTTTGCATTTGTAGTGTTCACATCATGACATGTTCATTCCCTCCCCGTTTTTCATCCTCGTCCATACTCCCGCTTTACAGGGCAGCTTTCCTGCCAACGACGTCGTCAACGAGACCCTTCCACAGATCCCTCAGACCGGGCTGGTGCGCGTCCTCAGCGGTCTCGCCCTCGTGCGCCCACTTGAGCTCGACGCCGTCAACGCCAAAGGCCTCGACCTCGGTCAGGGCGGCGGCGGTGGTGACGTTGTCCGGGTTGGCGGCGATGACGGAGATCTCGGGCTTGGAGAGGGGCAGGTCCTCGGCGAGGGTCTGCTCGTAGAGCGACTGGTGTTTTGTGGTGAAGGAGTCCGGGAGGAGGGGCATGCGCATGCCGGCGAACTCGTTTGCGGCGGGGACGGCGTCGAAGGAGGCGGGGAGGACGGTGAAGTCCATTGAGGCGAGGGCGGGAGAGGCAGACGCGGGGGAGGAGGAGGAGAAGGTCTGCATGCGGCGGTGGGCGGGGGATGTGCGGGTTGGTTGGGGGGTTGGGCGGTGGGTTGTTGTGAGGGAGCGGGTGGACTGAGATTGTGTTAGTGGTGAGTTTGATGATGGAGAGAAGCGGGTGAAACTTACGTCTTCGGAGCGGTTCTTGAGGAGCTCTGCGTACTTGGGCATGAGGACGGCGCCCTGGTTTACATTGTAGTGCGACTCGAGGAGGCCGGAGGAGCGGGAAGCTGTCGCGGCCGAGTTGATGGAGCGGGCGAGCTTCGCGACGGGGGCGGTGATGCGCGACATGTTTATGGAGAGGAGCTGATTTCCGGAATCTGCTATGTGTATGTTTGGAGGTTTGGTGTTTGTCACCGGAGAAGATGGACTCGACGTGTTGGATATGGATGTACAAGAGATGCAAGTTGGACGGACGGATGGGAGCTGGACGTTGGCGGGAGGAGGGAGGGGGAGATGCACGGCAGATATACGCACGGAAGGGAGGAAGGGGAACGGGGGTGGGATTTGGGAGCTTCTTTTCGACACGGATGGACACACACACACACACACACACACACTCACACACAGGCACACGCATGCTGCAGATGAGGGGAGGGGGACCGCCCATGGTTTCCTCTGTCTCTCATCTCACACACCACACCCCTGGTCTGGAACTTGGACGGGATGGGATGGGATGGATGGACGAGGTGAGGTGGGTTGGGAGTGAGTTTGGCCAGCTGCTGGGTTCGGGGATGGGACGAGATGGGAACGGGGAGTAGCGGCGGCGGAGGCGGCCAAACCATCCCTCCCCCGTATGCGAGGTCAAGAGCTTGGAGAGAGAATGTTTGGGTGTAGGTACCGTTACTTGGGAGCTTCAGAAACGGGGGAGGATACATGTCCTGGCGGTGGTTGAGGGGAGCAAAGTGGATGTACCCGGAGGTCCGGCGACGGGCGGCCGGCGTGCCGGGAGTTGGGACTGTGGAGAGCGACCCAGAGAGGGTGGCCCTGGTGTTGAGAGGTACCTGCTGGGCGGGCAGGGGGGTGTGCAGGTCCAGTAGGTACCTGTTAGCTAAGACGCCCTGTATTGTTGGGGAGGGATCCAATCACGATCAGCAGGGGAGTTTATTTGGTTGGCGGGGGATGTACGTGTCGGCGGTGATGTACATGCCCGATTTGTGGTGTGTGTGTGTGTCTCTCTCTCTCTGCCTGTATGCACGCCATGTTATGCTTCCTGTTCGTCCTGTAGTGTACTAAGTAACTGCTGCAGTGGATAGTGCGGTGAGTTGAGGATTAGCAGTAGCAGCAGCAGCAGTAGTTGCAACTTTCATCCAGTCTCCTCCCGGATGCATTTGCGCCAGAGGAAAGTAGTCCTGGATGTGGCGAACATCACGGTCGAATGTCTCTGCAGAGTGCCAGCAGTCGTTCGTAAAAATGGCACTATTATACAATGGAATCTGGGAAGAGCTGGCGAGGGAAAACGCCCGATCGATGCGGGCGCGTGAGCTGAGGACGGGAGGGGAATGGTGCGGTTTGGTGGGCGTGGCATGCGATCTCTGCCGCGACCGCTGGATGTTGCTGCTACGCTACCACGCTGCACCACACTGTGTATCTGGATCTGGATTCGTGCGGGAAAACGACTCTCTCCGTCTCTCCTGGGTGGTGCATTGCTCGTCCTCTGTTGGAGAAGAAAAAAAAGATGGAACGGCTTCCGTTTGCAGAGCTGAGTTGCGGTGTGGGGGTTGGAACCAGCTCCAGTGAGGCAAGAGAACAGGGCATAGCGGTCAAGACTCGGGATTCCTCTGGTAGAGGAGTTGGCCGGGTCGGTCAGCACGACAGGCCTGGTCAGGTCAGATCAGGTCAGGGTCGGGTTCAGGTACACAGATACACGGTCGAGAAGTGAGGCATTGCTTCGTGACCCTGCCAAGGCGGGTGACGGACGGGATGTAGTGTCTGCGTTGCCATAGCGTGTGTGTGAGAGCATCAGCAGCGAACACCGAACACCCACCCTCCTACGACTTGGAGGAGATAGCCCGCGCTATCCAAACAAATGCGATGGGTCTTGGTCTAATTTAGGCCTGGTTATCTGCGAACTGGCTTTCGCGGGTGTCAGATTGTCAGATTGGGAGGCAAAGAAGGGACCTCTGCCTTGCCATGTTGTGACAATAGGAATTGCGAGGCGGGAGGCGGTTTCCGAGGGCCGAGAGAGAGAAGAGCGAACATCAGACAGACACGTTCCAACGGGTTTCCCTGACTGGACTGGACCGGGCTAGGAGCAGGGAGCGAGAGCGCGCGAGCGATGCTGATAAGAAACGGGCTGGATTTTAGACAACTCAACAGAAAGTAGAGACATGTTCCTGCCCTGACGGTGGTGGTGATGGATAGGCGCAGCAGTCAAGTCATGGACCCCCGTCGCATGAGCAGCGTACGTGTCTGGTTTCCACCATCTCTTGCTGTTCTGGGTTCTTGTTTATAGGTAGTTTATTGCTGCTTTTGGTGGACTCAGGGGTTGTTTGCTCATAGAAATGCTTGTTGAGCTGAGCTGCTGAGCGGTAGGAACAGAGGCTGTGTTGTTCGTACGAATACCGCAGTACGACTGACTGAGGTGACAGTTGAGCTGGGGGGGGATCTCGAGGCGAGCAGGGCCATAAGCCCAGCGCCCTGCCAGTCCACCGCTGAGCTGCCCTGCGCTGGGTGTCACTTGTCACTGAGAGTTGTCAACCCCCCAACCAGAAACCCAAAAAAGCTTCGAGACGTTGAGGAGCTTGGGCCACTGCGGGTCCACCCCGGCACATGCGCCTTGCTTCCCGTCTCCACCACACCTCTTTTTCTTTTTTTTTCCGCCTAGCTAGCAGCATTCGCAGCGTGGTGGTGCGGTGCGCTCCTACAGAGCACAGCTGCGCAACGCAACAAACCAGTGACACACAACTTGCACCTTTGGCGCAATCATCTCACCTCACCTCACCTTGCCGTCGAACACACCAGAGAGCTAAAGCACGCCGGGTCTGCCGCTTGAAGATTGTTGACCGAGAGGCGCATAGGCGGCTTGACATCGCCGTCTCCTCCCTCCCCTCTCTTTCGTCACCATCGTTTCTGCTGCTCTCAAGTGGACTTGGCAAAATTTCCCACAGGTTTCCTCAAGCAACCTCGATAAGGCGGGAAATTTCCTACGAGTCTTGACAAAAGCCCTCCGAAAATGGGTTGGTTTGGCGGGCACCGGATGCTTTCCCCTAGGTGCGAGTACCTCCCCTGTTCCCAATTCAAGACATCTCTCGGCGCTAGTCTTGGAGCTCCCTGCGCCGTACCTGCGACCCCATGATCGCCCGCATCGGCTGGGCATGCCTTGATGGGGTTCCCGTTCCTGTCTGTCTCTGTTCTGGCTATCTGCGATATCTGTTTGGGCATGTACTGGACATACCTACCTGAAGCACGGTACATTGACATTGACCCTGACACTGACACTGGCAGGTTCTGGAAGCGGTCGAGGGGCCAAGCAGGGAGACGGCGGCGATCATTGCATCTCGAGGCAAAACCAGAAACAAAATTCCCCGGCTTCGAGAGATTACCAGCGTTTGCCAACCGTTAAAAGCATGAATTAATTGGCAGGCTGGTGAGCAGGGCGAGCGGACCGGGCTCGACGTTCCCTCTGAAGCTGGCAGAGTACCACGCAGTCACGCAGTACCAGAGCTGGCGGCTCCTTTCCCTCACCGCTTGGGGTCGGGGGTGTCCAGGTTCGTCGAATCATTCTGGAAATGCACTCGCCCTGATTGGCCGGGCTGCTGGACGATCGGCGCATGGCCAGATCGTTGGGAACCACCCCCGTTCCACCTCCCACGTCGCTCGTCCTGCTCTTTTTCCATAGGTTCACAGTGTTGCTGTTTCTGTCCAGTGACTGTGGGCTTCTCCAACCCCACTCGCTCCACCCAGCGCAGCGACTTCGTCAAGACTCAAGAGTCAAGACACGCAAAACCGCACCGGAAACCATCCCGACTGCAACGACTCAGGACCACCACCACCCCGACCGGCGCACTTTGGCTACGGCGGC